TCAGTCCTGTCCCGGCTTGCCCTGTTCCCCCACCCCCATATCCATGAGTACCTCCTGGATCCCTACATCAGCCTGGCCCCTGGCTGCAGGAGCCTGTTCTCTGTGCTTGTCAGGGTAAGGATGAGGATGCGACGGGAGGACAGCAGGGCAGGGGTGGGAATGGAGAAGTCGACACCCGTACCGGTGCCAGGAAATGCACAGGTTTTCCAATTCCATCTCCTACCTCCTATGGGATGGTAGAGCCAGGGGTAGCTGTAGGACATGGCCAGGTCTCATCTTGGTCCTTTCTGGACTCTAGGTGATTGGGGACTTAATGCAAAGAATTCAGAGGGTACCCCAGTTTCCGGGCAAACTGCTCCTGGTGCGCAAGCAGCTGATGGGCCAGATTCCCGGAGAGCAGTAAGTAGACAAAGGGAGTGGGTGCCCAGGGTCGGGAAGGCAGCATTGAGGGCGTCCCTCGTGGGTCAAGCCTTGTGGACATGGGCTGTCATGCCCTATGACACCTGCTGACTCTCAGCCATGCCGTTTTCCCCCATCTGCCACTGTCTTTCCTCAGTCTGGACCATCAAACCCTACTCCAGGGCGTGGTAGTACTTGAGGAATTCTGCAAGGAGCTAGCCGCCATTGCGTTTGTCAAGTTTCCCCCACATGATCCTCACTTGAACTTCTCTCCACCCCCGGAAGGGCAAGTCTGAGCCAGGAGCATGATGGGCGGGGGAAGACTCCTGCCTGTACTTCTGCCCATGGGCGGCTTCCTGCCTGGCCATGCTGCCACTGTGTCCTCCAGACTGGGGACTTCAGCTGCAGGAGACCTCACCTGTTGACCACGTGAGCTGAGGTTTCAGGGCAGCGTCATAGAGCAAAAGAGCTGCCTTCTAAGTCAGTGGTATTCTTGGGGTCTTCTTGGAGCAGCTTGGAAGATGGTCAGTGAGCATCTAGACCCTGCCCTGCATGTGTTGTGTGACAATCCCTGCTATACTGTGACCAGGGCCACAACGTGAGACAACTCTAGGGGCAAAGGAAATGAACTGCTGTTGCCTTTGAGGCATGCTCGACATCCCGGCCAGAGAGACAGGAGCCCAGAGTTCCTGCCTGTCACATTAGGTATCAAGGAAGCTGCTGAAGACTTGGAGGTTTTTTTCATGGCTTCCTTAGTGTGAGCAGTAGTGAAGGAGATAGAGAAGGGGAAGCCCCTCTTCCTGCTCTACCCTCCTGGAGACTTGCAAAATTCCCAACAGCCTCATGGCAGATGCCCAAAGCATGCTCCGCGCCCAGGCGAGGGCAGCTGCTAACAAGAGCCTTGGAGCAGCTGCAGCCAGGGCAGGCAGGCAAGGGCCTTGGAGCTGGGAGCTGGCTGCCAGGCTCAAGCTCCAGCTGGTTCCTCTCTGGCGCCTTCTGAACCCGTCTTAGCAAGTCCACAACACCTGGGCAGAGAGGCCGTTGACCAGGGGTGGGTTGGCCTTGTCCTCTGAATCCTGCCCAGCACCCAGGGATCCCAGTGAAAAGCACTCTTGGGGGGCACAGGCACTGAAGGTACAAATGGAATAGGGCACCCCAACTCCAGACCCCTGAGACCTGGTGAGGAGGGGCTGAGACACAGCAGATAGCTCTGGTATTGTTCTTCGTGTGTCCTCCATGGCTGGGGCTGCCACCCCACCCGGCCTGAATCTGTCTCAACCTGCAAGAACGCATGGGCGGCACCAGGCATTACCTCACAACAAGCCTGAAGTTGTTGGCTTCGCTCCTGGGCAAGGAGGAGCAGGCCAGAGCCCCTTTTGCTTCCTTTTCCTGCCCATGCCGCCTCTCGAAGCTGGGCACAGGTTGCCAGGAGGTGACATGAAAGAGGTGGAAACTCGGTGACCTCTACCTCTCCCGAATTCCTCCCAGTGGGGGAGGACTCGTCTGCTGCTCCCAGCAACACGATGCACTCCTGTGTGTACGAGCTGTGTGTGTGTCAGTGTACGTGGTCGCTGGTGTGGGAGCAGATCTTGGTGGAGTTGGGTCTACACTCTGAGATTCTTACCACTCGCTCGAGGGTCTGGGCAATAATGCACTTTGGCATTTGCATGGTGTCTTTGCAACAGCACAGCAATAAACAATGTGATTGTATGGACACAAAGACTGACTGTTCCCCAGTCTGCTTGTCTTCTTCCCAGAGCTTTTCTGCCCCCCCCAGCCCATCTTTTACCCCAAAGAAGACAAACCCAATTCCTTTTCCAACACTGAAGGAGAGAGAGGCGGTAGGTACTGAGTTCTGACATTGCAAATTTGGTCCTCCTGAGCACCAGCGGAACTGACTCTTGGCTGAGCAACATTGTTTCAGTTCGGTTCACCTCCAGTTGAGCCATCCTGTAAGAGTCATCAGGCCCTGGTAGCACTTGCAGGCAAGTCTAGGCCTGTGTGTTGCTTATGTGCTATATCATATGACCACGCCAGTCACAATTGGGACTGATGAAAACTTGGAGAAGGAATCTAAAGGTATAGTTCAGAGATAAGAGTGCTTATTTAGCTGGCCAGTGGTGGCACACGCCTTTAATCCCAGTACTTGGGAAGCAGAGGCAGGCGGATCTCTGAGGCTAAGCCTGATCTACAGAGCGAGTTCCAGGACAGCCAGGAAACTGTCTCAACAGTGAAGAGTGCTTATTCATCATACCGAAGGCCCCTGGGTTCAATCCTTCGCACTGCTTTTTATGTTATTTGGTGGGCTGGATTTTTTGAGAAAGGGTCATGCTCTCAGGCTGGCTTTGAGCTGGATGTCCTTTTGCCTCATCCTCCTGAGTGCTGGAGTTACAGGTGTGTAGCCTGATACCCAACTCCCAGCTTTGTTTTAAGAAAGAAAAAATGTGGTATGGGAATGGGTGTTCTGAGTCATCAGAAGTACCAGGAGTCAGGCAATCAGACTAGAGAAGCAGGTCTCCAGCAGGGCTCCCGAGGTGCGTCACATGGAGAGCTAGGTTAGAAGCTCAGGACAGACACTGCTCTTGCAGAGGACCTAAGTGTGGTTCCTAGCACCAACGTCAAGCAGCTTTCAACTGCCTTTGACTCCACCTCCAGGGGATCTGATGTCTCCAGCCTTGGAGGGCTCATGTGCACATACTCATAGAAACATAATTAAAAAGAAATTTTAAAATATTCCTTTAAGAATAAATCTAGACCAACGGTTCTCAACTTGGGGGTCAAGACCCCTTTGGAGGTCCAACGACCCTCTCACAGGGGTCACCTAAGACCGGCAGAAAACAGGTATTTATATTATGATTTATAACAGCAAAATTAGAGTTTTGAAGTAACAACAAAAACAAGCTTATAGTTGGGGGTCCCCACAACATGAGGAACTGTATTGCAGCATTAGGAAGGTTGAGAACCACTGTTCTAAATCTCACTTTTTGAGATACCAGTGCCAAGCTGGGGAGATGGCTCAGTGGGTGAAAGACATGAATTTGAGTTGCCAGCATCCAGGTAAAGTGAGGTGTGGCTCTACATACATTGAAGCCCTAGCACTGTAGGTGAAGAAGACAGGAGTATCGCTGGGTCTTGCTGGGTGACAGCCTAGCTCCCGGCTCAGTGAGAGACCCCGTCTCAAAGGAAGGTGGGAGTCAATAGAGCAGGACCCCCCAGTACCCTCCTCTGGCTTCTGCAAATGTGCATGTATGTGTGCACACACAAAAAACGCCAGCGCCTATCTGGCTTCAACAGCTTAGTCAGTATAGTGGGTGGACAGAGCTCTCGGGTGATGGTGCTGTGTGCCCAGGATTGAAAATTACCAGGCTAGATAGTGGGAGTGAGTGGCATTGCCCTTCTCTGTATGTGTAGGAACTGGAGGGGGAGCACCGAACTGAATAAAAGGGTTTCAGTTCTAGTTGGGACCATTAGGTAGCCTGCTTACCTACTGTGTGAGACCCTGGGTCCAACCCACAGCACTACAAAAATGAAAGAATAGAAAAGACTATCATTTTTCTTGTTCTGTTTTTTGAGACAGTCTCTCTCTATGTAGTGCTGGTTGTCCTGGAAGTTGCTATATAGACCAGGCTGGCCTCGAACTCATATTCTCCTGCCTCTGCCTCCTGAATGTTGGCATGAAAGGTGTGCACCACCACTGCCCAGCAAGGCAGAGGCAGGTGGATCTCTGGTGATGAGCAACACATGATTCATTTCCTTTGCCCCACTGCTTTTGGTTTGCATTTAAAATTTTTATTTTTAATTATGTGTGTCTGTGGAAGGGTATGTGCACATTGAGTTGCAGTGTCTACAACGGCCCGAGAGGGCGTTGGAGCACCTGGAGCTGGAGTTATAGGTGGTTATGAGCCACTCAGGTCCTCTGCGAGAGCAGTACCTGCTCTTAAACACCTGAGATGATCCGTCTCTCCAGCCCCAGAGTTTTCATCAAATGTAATAACAACAATGCTTGGCACTGGCATGCCAAGGCACATCTAAATTCCCAGGACTCAAGAATCAAACTTGAGGCTAGCCTAGTCTATGGGTAGATTCTATCTCAAGAAAACACAATCCTGTTATGGCCTGGGAATGTAACTCTGTTGGTTAAAGTGCTTGAGTTCTGGAGAAGTAAGATGATGAAAAACTCAAGGTCAACACCAGCTACATTATAAGAGTTCACAGTCAGCCTGGGCTACATGAATTGAGGCAAGGGCTTGAACAAAACAAAAAGTTGCCAGGTGGTGGTGGTATCTTTAATTCCAGCACACAGGAGGTAGAGGCAGGCAGATGTCTGTGAGTTCCAGGAGAGCCTTGCCTACAGAATGAGTTCCAGGAGAGCCTGGTCTATAGAGTGAGTTCCAGGATAGCCAAGGCAACACAGAGAAACCCTGCCTAAAAGCAAAAAGAAAAAGGAAAAAAGCTAAAACGCCAGGACCATGGAGCACAAGAAAACAGCTCAGAGCCCAGAAGCTCAAAGAGAAACTTGGGCTGAGAGGCCAAGGTGTCATTCTCAGCTCTTGATTGCCCTACATGCAATGTCACCAGACCAAACTGTTCCAACACCTGGACAGGTCTGAGCTGTGCTTTTATTAGGGGTGTAGTCACTTCAAAGTCCCACACCCACCCGGCAGGACAGAAAAGCTAAAGAGAGCCTGGGTGGGTTGAGGCTTCAGTGAACAGTGTTGCTTACCCTGAAAGCCCTACACCCCTGCATCACATCGGTGTGTGAGGTGAATCATGGGTGGCTGTGGGTGGGACAGTGGCCCCACATCTCCACACAGACATTTAGGCCAGAATGTAAGTTAAGTAACACCTTTTTACTCAGTGCTGACTCTGCCCTGAGGGACAAGTTCCCCATGTCCCATCCCCCTCTACAGTCCTAGGAGCTTGGATGGATCAACATTCGACTTTTACCGAAGTGGACAAAGAAATCAGATGATGCCATTTGGGGTTCAAAAAGCCTCTCACTGTTTTGAGAGAAGCACTGTGTACCCTGAGAACAACGGAAAGCCTTGAGCCTTGAGCACTGGATTCAAGGCACTCTCCCTTTGGGCTCAATGTAGGGTCCCTGCACACAGTGCAGTGAGACTACCAGCCTCTTTCCAGCCTACAGAGGGAGGGTGGCTGCTCAGTTTCTGCTGGCACTTCTATCTGCTCAGGGGGATGATGGAAGATTCCTGGAGTCTGTGTAGAAGCTGTTTTTGCAAGTCTTCCTCTAATACTTTCCACCAAAAGTAGTTCTCACCCCTAATCTTTGGGGGCTCATCTTGGATTCCTGGGTTCCGAAAAGCCACCGTCACTAGCACATTCAGGCAGAGACCATCCAAATGGTCTCTGCCGAGGTGTTGCAGTCCGAGCAACCCCTTGGTCTCTACTGCCAGATTGTGCATAGTCAGACACTCCTGTAGCAGCCGCAGGATGGCCGCCTTGATGCCACCCCTTTGCTCCACAGAAGCGAAGCCACAGGCAGTGATGGGCAAGTGTGGAGTCCCCGCTGTGCCTACCAACACCCACACTGACTGGACTGCTGTGAAGGTGGCCACCAGCCGCTGGCAGACCACACGGCAGGGAAGCTCTTGAGGCAGAATGAGAGGGTGCATGGCTTGTTGGCAGAATTTGGCACCCAGCTCTACCAGGTGCAGAACATCATGGGCTCTAAGGGGAGTGGGCAGGGAGACCCGTGGGTACCAGCCAGCCTGGAGGGACTCAGCATCTGCATTCTTGGAAGTCTTGAGAACTCCACCTAGGGGAGATTTGGGGGGGATGAGGAGAGGGCCAGTATGAGAAGTGTTGAGTCTGAGAGAGTAAATAGCCACCCAAGCATTCCAGGGGGGAGACTCCCCACCCAAGCTCTTAGCCTGTAATAGGTCAGTGGCAATTTGCAGAGGCCACAGCATGGCTGGCTAAGGAGAACAAACTAAGAATGCTACCGGGTGGGTTGTACCTGTGGGTCGAGCAAGGAATACAAAACGGATCCAGCAGGCACCCCTCTCCTCCACAGACAGCAGTGTCACTGGCTCACAGAGCAGCCCAGCCTCCTCCTTCACCTCCCTCTGCATGGCCTCCACGATGGTCTCCCCAGGCTCCATCCTCCCTGCAGGGAGGTACCAGGTTCCCCGGCACTCTTTCTTGGCCTCCTGGATCATTAGCACCTCATCCTGAGAGAGAAGCAAGACAATCTTCACGTTTATCCAGCCAGTCTGGGGGCTTCAGAAGAGCAGCCCTTAGCTGGATGGATGTTGGCCCAAAGCTCCCTCCAGGATTCTGGGTCCCCGGGAGCCTGGTGTGGTTGAGTGCTGTGGCTGCCTCCTCTTGGCTGTAATGCAACTTTGGATTCAGAGGGATTTATGTAGTAGGAAAGGGCTGAGGTCCCTGGGCATTGCTCCAAAGAGGCCCTATGCTGAAGGTTGCCACCACTTCAATACTGACGCATACCTACGCCACAATGTTGCTGCTCTCTTGTTCACTGTAGGTTTTACAAACAGCTTGTGTCAGGTCCCCACTCTCTAGGGTCTGAGCTTTGAAACTCAGCTCTGCCCCTATACCACTTATCCCTACTTGGCCAGGATGTTTTTACAGAGACGATCACAAAACAAACAAAAAACCCAAAACCCAAAACCCAAAACCTCCCAGAGGGTCGGATCGGAGACCTGCGTGTAAGCTCCCTATAACTATCTGTGAGGCCGGGAGGCTCTAGGAAACCCTTCAGTAAACCAGGCACCATGCCAGATTCCTGGTCAGGAAGGAGGCATAACTGCAGGCCTCTGCTAGTGAAGGCGAGGTCTAGTGGATGAGACAAACCGCCCCGGGGCCTCGGCTTCTCCCTCTTTATAATATGTAGTCTACAAGGACGATCTCAGCTCAGCAGCTAGTGTGAGAGAGAATGCTTTGCAACATTAGGAAGCACCACGCACAGGCAGCGGCCGTTGGCTCGCCTGTTCCCACCAGGGCTGGCGGCGCGCTCCCGAGACCAGCTGAAGGCCGGCGGCCGGACGCTCACCTGCTCGTTGAGGAACACGGCCAGCACCACGTAGCAGACATTCTTCCGCAGCCGCACGGGCGACAGCGGCTTGCCAGCCGGCTCCGAGTCATAGCTCTGCACCAGCAACCCCTTGCCCCCCAGCACGGTGGCCAGCGCCCCCGCCAGGCCTTCCGAGGCCATCAAGTCTCCAGGGAGGTGGTAACCCTGGACTCGCCAGGCCCCCGGAGGCAGGCGGCGGGGACTTCAGCGGCGGCGGACCACTGAGCCCCTCGCCCCCTCCCCTGCCTTGAGGACCAAGGCTAACGCGGAACCTCCAGGAGAGACCGGGCTGCTGATAGGCTGCGCGTCACCACGGCCTGCCCGGATTGGTCAGCTCGCGCGGTTACCGAGGGGGGGCGGGGCTCCGGGGACACGCCCTCTGCCCCTCCCCCCCACCTCTCCGGGGTTTCAGTCGCGACCGGTCGCTCACTCCTCACTCTTCCCAGCTCTTAGCTAATTCACCCAGCAGGCACTTGTCTGCGCGGGTTCCGACGGTGATGTCATCGTGCCTGTAGGGTGCTGAACACCGCGGCGACTAGGGTCGGTGGCGTCACTCGTCTGATGGCATTACGGGAGCCTAGGCCCCGCAGTTAGCTCCCACTGTCCAGCTTTTATCATAAACGAACTAGAGAAGTGCTCAAGACGAATAGGCCCCAAATAACTTTCTGACTTCGTTCAAATTCTCTGAACGCCATGTGGCTGGGGCACATAACGTTGCCTGGGACGTTCTGATCTGTATAGATCGATGGACCCAGGCATTTAAAAAGGCAGCTGCAGGATTGGTTTGGGCAAAAGAAGTAATTGACAAGGCTCAGAGGAGAGATGGGACAGGGCTGGTAGGGTCAAGACTAGGGGTGAAAGAAAAGGGTGGGAGGGGATGAAAAAGAGTTTGGAGACCGCGATGCAGTCTTCATCAAATCCCCCTGCTCAATACATTTGCCATAGTTTCGAGGTTTCTGCAGCAGACTGCATCCTTAGAGGGCAGGGGTGGTGCCCTCCTACCCAGCTTGCCGGGCCTGGCCATGGGGAACAGGGTGTGGGTTGTTTTGGCCAGCTCCTGCTTCTCTCCCAGGCTGACCTTTCCTCCGAGCTTCTTTAACCTCGGCTCAGGACAGGAAGGCAGGGCCAGCTGGGAGGAATCCACAGAGCAGGCCAAGTCTGGGCTCCTCACCCCATCCTAGCTGTCCCTTTCCTCCTCCCTCCCTCCTGCTGGCTCTGTGCGCCTCCTTTGGGGGACAGTGGCTTGGTGGCGCTGACAAAGCTCTGGAGTTTAAGCCAGACATCCAGTCATTGCTGGCCGGCTCTCTCTGTGCCCTGGTCTCAATGTCCTCATCTGTAGAGTAGGTCTAAACAGCCCTCCTCCCTGGTTGTTGAGAGGCCAGGATGGCCTGGGAGAGCTGTGTGTGCTATCTGAGCAACCACTGGGCAGCCCACCTATTCTCCACTTAGAATAGCAAAGCCATAACACTTGGTGATACACAAAGGCCAGCCCATAGAGCCCCTGTGAAACTGGGGAGTATAGCTCCGTATGCATAAGGCCCTGGTGCTCAATCCTCAGCACCACAAAACAAACAAAAAAGCGTCTATGCTCCTTGGACTTCACCCCCAGTATCTCAGCCCCACGGGACAGGTCATCTAGCTGTTCTCGCTGATGCTGAGGCAGACTCCCCGGAGACACACCCAGGTGAGGTGGGACCCACCTAGTAGCCACAGTATTTTGAGGTACTTGAACACTGCTTGCTTGAGGCCATTTAAAGGCCACCTCCAAGTAACTGCAGTCATTGGCAGAGGGGCAAGATCAGGCCCCAGGGTGCAAATCTGCTTTAAGCTCTCCCCTCCCCTCTTCTTCTCCCCTCTCCTCCTCTCCCCTCCTTCCCTCTCCTCCCCTTCCCTTTCCTGTACTCCCCTTACTCTCTTCTCTCATTACTCTTTGTTCAATCTTTTAGTTCCTCAGTTTTCCCATCTGTGAAGTGGAGGCAGCACTGGTCACAGACTCCTTTCTGCCCCCCAGGGATGATTTGGGAGAGGGTGAGGTCACGTCTGGGCAGGCTGAGAGCAGCAGAGGCATCCTAAGATAAACAGCAGACAGCCTAACTGCCTGGAAGAGCAAAGGCTGCCTCAACCGCAGTTCCATTCCCCCATTACCATGGGGGAAGGGGAAAACACGAGGCTGCGGAGGGCCTAATTGCCTCGTCATAAGCCACAGTGAAACAACAGAACACCAAGAGCCCCTTGTAAACACAGAAGACATTTTAGAGAGTGCAGTCCTTCCCAGTCCTTTTTTGCCTGGCAACAAAAAAGGTTGGATTTCTTAAGACCTTTGGGAAAAGACCAGTGGTTAGGGATAGGTGAGTGAGTCCTGGACATAAAGGGGATCATGTGACAGGGCAAGAAACTGAGACAGACACACCCCTCCAAGTATGTCTTCTATCCTGTGGTGGGGGTGGGACACTCCTGGAGTGGGCAGCCATGGACAAACATAGTCTGATTAGTACAGCTTTCCAGCACCTATGGGAGCAAGCCATCTTAGGGTGCAGGCATGCAGATGTGTAAACGACCTTGTGAACACAGAGATCTGAAGTAGGCAGAGGCAGGTACTCTGGGACAGGGCTGGGCAGGCAGGATGAGGCAAGGGTGTCTGGGATGCTAGAGTCCTTTACAATGTAGCAAGTCCTGTCCCTTGACAAAGAAGAGATCCACTAGGAGGGCAGTAGGAGGATGGGCCCTGGGATCTGGACTGCTAGCTCCTTGAAAGACCCTGGAGTCATAGTCATAGTGTAGATCAGACACTGGCATTTCTAGACTCTGGGACACAAAAGGGGTGTTCAGGGGAACACTGGGGAAATTCTAATGAAGCTGTGGCTTCCGGGAAAGGATTATAGTAAAGTTAAGGTCTTGGTGGTGATAAAGCACTATGTTTGTATAAGATATTCCTACTAATGGACACTAGGTAAAGGTAATGAAAACCAAAACTTTTTTTTTCCTTAATTTTTCAGGATAGGGTTTCTCTATGTAACAGCTCTGCTATCCTGGAACTCTCTTTGTAGACCAGGCTGGTCTTTTTTTGTTTGTTTGTTTGTTTGTTTGTTTTGTTTTTCGAGACAGGGTTTCTCTGTGGCTCTGGAGGCTGTCCTGGAACTAGCTCTTGTAGAACTAGCTGGTCTTGAACTCACAGAGATTGGCCTGCCTCTGCCTCCTGAGTTCTAGGATTAAAGGAGTGTACCACCACTGCCCGGGCAGTAACTGAAAGCTTTATGTGCTATATTTGTTTTGTTTTGTTTTTTTTGAGGGTTTTGTTTATTTTTGTAGAGACGGGGTCTCACTATTTAACCCTGGGTGGCCTTGAACTCACAGAGCTCTGCCTGTCTGTACCTCTCAAGCGCTGAGGTTTAAAGGTATGTGCTACCACACCACTCTTTGTGCTCTACTTGCGATTTTATTGTAAACCTATAATTATTTCAAGATAAAATATAGGAGAACTTTATAAGAAAAAGGGAAAGGCAGCTAATGGATGGAGATACCGCCCTGAGCTCACTTCCAACCTTTTGGCTGGTGTCACGGTGAGTGTGACACAGTGGTGTGGCTGAAGGTTGACAAGGAGCCCGGGACCCTGACAAACGCAGAGGCCCAGGAGCTCTGCTGGGAGCAGTGCCAACCAAGGACCCCCATGTCTCAGGGTCAGATACTACTTGGTCCAGTCGGAGAATAAATGAGCACTGGTCCAGCAGCTGTTTCTAAGAGCCAACCAAATCGACCCTCAAGGGAGCTGTGACGGTGGGGGCGGGGTGACCAGGGAGGACCAATGCCCACAAGCCTCTGCCATTCCACCCCAACTGACAAAGTTCAGTGTTGCATCTTTCCTAGGAAGGATCCTGTAGTTTGGGCTCAGGGTGACAAGGCTGTAGAAAGTAAAGTGTTAAGTAAGAACATGCCACTCAGTGCCACTTGGAACAAGATCAGCACTACCGTCATGAGGAGGGAGAAAAGCCTGTCTTTAAACTCCATGAAGCACTAAAACTAGAATGTAAGCCAGGTGTCTTGAGTCAGCAAACTTGGTTCAAATCCCATTCTGCCACTAAAATGGCTGGGTAACCTTGGGTGACTTCTTTAGCCCCAAACTGCCTGTTTCTTCTGTAAGATGGAAATAGATTGTCTGTACCTCAAAATAGCATCAGGGATTAAATGAGATGGTTTAAATTAAATGAAAAGGACACAGTAAAACATGGCTGTTCTCTAGAGTTCCCCACTCCTTTTAACCCACAAAAAGGGGGTGAAAATGAAAAGCTTAACTCTTTTTCTTTTTAAGATGGGGTTTCATGACCTCAAGTTGGTCTCAGACTCACAATGTAGCCAAGGCTGGCCTTGAACTTCTGATCCTCTTGCCTTTCCACCTCCCTTAGTATTGGGCTCACAGGTGTGTTCCATCACACCCAGCTATAACATAGCTTAAAAGAAAGAAATCAAGATTCCCTGAAGAAATTACCAGGAGGAAATACAGCAAATCTAGCAATGCTTGGGTCGATCAAGATGGGATTGTGGATGACTTGGTTGTTTTCTAAATGCTCTGAACAGATGTTATATTTATAATAAAAATGTTTATTTAATTAAAAAAAATCCCCAAACCACAGCAGGAACAGTTAAGTATAACAAGAGCTGGCGCATTTGTGCGGTTGAGATACACAGGGGAAGAGGTAGACAGCAAAGCGTTACCGGAAGGGCCACAGGGTAGGGGTCAGCTGTCTGAGGCAGCAGAGCTCTGTCTCAGGGCCTGGACACCAGGAGCAGCTGGGCTGAGCAAGGGTTCTCCCGTCTCTCCAGGTCAGAGCACACAGAGTAGGCGGGACAGAGGCAGGGGGATCTGTAATCTCCACAGGCTGATGCCACCCAGGGAGGCCATCTCAGTGCTGTCCCCTAGAACTCTGCCTTTTCCGCTGTCGGTCAGGAATATCTTCAGTCCCCAGAAAGCCCTAGGGGTCCAGGCCTCCCAAAGATCTAGCAGTGGTATTTGAGGTCTCTGTCACCAGGGCCCCTGTCCCTGTCTGCCGGGTCTCCGCTCCAGAGCAGATTTCTGTGTTTGCCTTCTCTCCCCAGCCCTCCTGGTTGGCAGAGTAAGGCCAACCTATGCTGGCAGCAGTCACCAAACAACGGACTTTAATACAGGCTGGGAGGCAGAGAGGTAGAAGCAGGACCACAGTGGCACTGTTCATGTCGGTCCCTCCGCCACCCTGGACCATTAACTGAGGCCATCTCCTCCCTAACTCCACAGCTCCTCTGAGAGGGAAGA